AAAAATCGATGTTTATCTGTGTTTTTAATATTTAATTTTAAATTAAGAAATTGAGTAATGTGTAGTACTAAAATCTGAATTATAATCTAGTTTGATACCAAACTTATTGACATAAATTCATGAAATATTAGTTCAATAAAATTTTGAATGAGAGTCAACAAACAAGATAACATGGCCTCTCACCAGTGACACCTCTTGAAAGGGTTAACAGTTCTCTTTCTACCTCTACAAAATAAAACAATGCAATACACACATTAACTTCAAAATTAATATTTTAAAGAAATTTTCAGTTACCAAAAGACAAAATATAGAATTTATTTTCCCCACAGAGAATAAGGGGTGACTTGATCCAAATGTTTGAATTATCAGAGATAGTCTGAGTGGTGGAATAAAAAGGTTGTAAATATAAACTTAGGGATAGTAGATTTACATTTTAGAAATCTCATTCTTTGTAAACAATAATTTTTCTACAGTTATAAAAGCTCTTTTAAATATGTTTAATTTGGATTTTAAGTTCTACCTTAATTGTTTTTTTTTTGTTTTCTTATGCATTAAATGACATATAAGAACATTTTAATGCACATTCATTTATACCTGATCGTACTGGATATCTTCCAGTTAGCAATGCTGCCCTGCTTGGAGTACAAACTGCAGCTGCTGTGAGGTGATGGGTAAGCTTCACACCTTCAGCAGCTATCCTGTCAATGTTAAAAGTTTGGATTGTATCATTTCCAAAACTCCCAACATCACCGTAACCTAGGTCATCGGCCAAAAATATTACAAAGTTTGGTCTAGCTGCAATACTGGAGGTAGATGTACTTAACATACAAAGAATAGACAGAGAAGCCACAAATGTTGTTGTCATTCTGAATCCTACAAAAATACAAATACATACCAACTTCAGTAACATACTAAAAATAATTTGGTTTAAACATTATAAAATTTGTGTTTATATCTGCTTTGGTAACTGCATTCATGGAAAAGCACTGGAAATCAGATTGGAAAAACATAAATATTCTCGTATAATAAATTTGAGTTTTTGTGCATTTTTAGACAAGGAAACAATTTATAAACCTTCTACATCTACAAAGACAGTTTCACCAAAGTACACAACAATCAAACACTGCAAGCTAAATACCCTATAATTTGTTTTTCTGTGAATATTTCACAGAACTTTTTCAGTTTTTTTAATACGTGAATAATAAAGGCCACACTTAAAACTTGAATACAAAATTATTAGAACTACTTAATATATAAAACTCAAAAGAAATCTAAATGTAACATGTTCATAACATTTAAGGTTCCACAGGGGCTTTGGTTCAATGAGACTATCCCATACACTAAAAAAAACAACCTCAAAGCCAGGTCTTATAATTTAAATACTTATCAAGCCTTCCTTATATTTACTGCCCCATCAAACTTGAAGTCAACCCATTCTAAAGGCCAACCAGCTTGTTAGAAAAATAAAACTGTCTTAGCTGAAGATACTCCTAGTTCTACCCTGTCAAAATGTGTCTCTCCTTGTCCTACCATTCTCACCATCAAATATGAAAAAAAAGCACAAAAAAAACAGATGATGCATCAATACTATCATTTTCCTTAATAACCCCGAACATCTCAATCAGATCCCTTCTAAATTCTTTTTTCAAGAAAAAATAACTTCAGACATGTTAACCTGATCTCAAATGATAACCTTTCCAATAATTCAATGCTATTCTTAAGGTAAGGAACCCAAGACTAAACACAGTACTTAACCAGTGACCTATACAATAGAATGATAACCTTTTTAGGCTTACGTTCGATATTTATGTAAATACAACTCAAATTCCTATTAGTATTAGCCTTACCACTAGCAACATCACACTGTTGGATGATATAAACAGAATAACTTTCTGACTTTTAATCTTATGGCCATTTTTATGAGAAATTACCTGGACTAGAAGTGTAAACTTTCCTTTTCAAAGTTTTTTAAAAGGTTTTATTTAATTATTTGGAATGGTGCATCTACACATAGTTTAATGACTGCACTATGGGCTAAATCATTAAAATTTCAATGACTTTCTTCACCTACCTTTAGATTTAGTTATGACACAAAATGCATAAAAGTACAATACGTGTAACAAGAAATAACTTGCAATTTATTAAAAACTATTGAAAGTGTCTTCTGCTACAATTACTGAATTAGGATTGTAAAAATATTATAAATATTGAATTCCAGTTACATAGCATTGAGCTAATGATAAGCATTCTTATTAAAAACAAGGATTACACTTTACGTTTACAAATGGGAAAGTCATTCTTATATGTTTAATGAAGTTTTAGTTCATAGTTTGAATTCTAAATATTAAGCATCACAGAAAATACTTTTGGTATTTTACATTTATAATTTTAGTTTTTACACTTCAAGTTACAGCTATTACTAGCTTAATGGTTAGATTTAATATTTACCCCTTTTTTACTTCTTTTTAGTGACTCAGCTCATATTTAATATAACTTATGTCTATTTTTCACATTTACAATTAGCTTGTACTCACTTTAATAGTATTCTCTTTGATCAATTGACTAGCACTAGCATTATACTTTATTATTATAGCAATCGCCACATTGGTAAAACTGTTACTAGTGCTAGTACTACTATTGTGGGAGGGAACTAAACCGTAAGGTTCTCCTCTTCGGACTTTGAACCAATTCCGATGGGCAAGGTGTATGTATCGTTTGTTTTAAAGTATGTTTATTTACAACACTATGTAGTTGTCGTGTGATACATTGTACAACCTCTGCAGCGGAATGTAAGAACGTAGTACAGCACTAATACTATTCGTAATAATAGGAATACTATATATTGTGTTTTGAGTCTGTTTTACTTTACCATATAGTAACCTAAAATAATATATGTATGTGGAATTCATTCCATCGAATTCATTATGTAATATTATACAGCGAACCATCTGTTTAATGAGTAGATATAATATATACATATATATATATACATGTGTGGTAACTTAAAGATTCTTTTCTTTTTCGCCAGTACTACAGCTGTTCAGAGCATAATATTAATAATAATAATATTAATAGTGTAGGAATCGGAATGAAGACTAAAGTCCAAGTCTTAAAAAGGGTCTCAACTTTAGCTGTAACAGTGTAAGTATAAGTACGAAATAAAACTTTACTACATTGTCTCTGTGTGCTACTTCATGGAGATTAATCACGTGTTAATATGATATTTAAAAGGTGATAATTTAGAAATATACAAATAATTATTTAAAACCTGAACTTCCAGATTGTCGCTAGCCCTTCGTCAAGTGCACAAAAACGGTAGCCTGCTTAATAAATTTGAGCTATAGAGATCCACCTCCTGGCCCTGGTGGTCTAGTACTACTAGGACTAATATATTAGGTCGTCAAGATATTAATGTCGCGTTTTGGAACACTTTCATTAACCACTTCCCAAAAAACGTACATCACGTATAATAGTTAAACGAACCGCCTAAACGTCACGTTAGTGTAGCCTATATATTGTGTAAAATTTAGTATACTTTAATCCCTTATAGTGATGGCACACAACGAGACACACATTCGGCATGTAATGCTGTTTGAATACAAGAAGAAAAACAACGCCTCTGTAGTCACATAGAATATCAATGAAGTTTATTGAAATGTTTTGAACTTTCGTAAGTGTCAACGATGGTGCAGCAAATTTCGTTCAGATGACTTTAGCCTTAAAACTGTGATGGCAGGGGCCGCCATGTTGGAATTGATATTGTTGCGTCATCGAGTCACATGACTACTGTGACGCAACGTTTCTAGAACTATCATGTACTTTGGCGAATGTTCTAGTTCTTACTAGATATAGGGTAGGCTGGTATATAAAAGAAGGTAATGTAATGTGTGTGTAGAGAGTGAGTAATTGAACTGCAGTCAGAGAGCACGAGAGACGTTACAGCGTTTGTTTAGCGCGATTGTTGAAGTTGAGTGTATCGGTAAAGTTATATTCGGAAAGAATAAACCAGTTTTATTAAGAAAGGACTTGTGTCGCTTAAGTTTCGTCGGAACGATGTTACTCAAAATCAATTAACAAACGGAGACGTAACAATATTGATGCTCTGAAGATGCTTGTTGAGTCTAACCCAAGGCAACAACTCGGGAAATGGCCGTGTAATTGCATGTCTCTCATGAAACAATACCTAAACATCTAATGAATATGGGAAAACTCCATAAAGAAGGTGTTTTGGTGCCTCACTAACTCTCCAATGATAATCGTTTCCAACGTATCTTCTGGTGCGTAATGCGCGTGAACCATTTTGGAACAGAATTGTCATGTTGATGAAAAACGGATTCTCTATGCAAATATTAAATGCCAAAAACAATGGCTCTGACCTAGACAAAAACGACTTCTGACCCCAAAACCTGGACTCCATCCACAGAAAGTGATGCTTTGCATTTGGTGGGACATAAAAGGAGTAATTCATTTTCAACTCCTCAGTCCACAGCAAACTGTCAATGCAGAGATCTATAGTCAGCAAATGGAACGTTTAAATCAAGCCCTTCATCAGAAAAGCTCTTCACTCATCAATCAGAAAAGTGTTCTTCTTCTCCAAGACAATGCACATCCACATGTGGCACGTTTGATTCAATAGAAAATTATGGAGTTGGGCTGGGAAGTGATCTCCCATCCACCATATTCTCCAGATATGGCACCATCAGAATATTATCTTTTTCTTTCACTGAAACACCACCTTAATGGAAAAACGTGTGCAAATATGGAAGGGTTAAAGAGTACATCAACATGTTTTTGCTTCAAAGCCAAGTGATTTCTTTAACCAGGGCATTAACAACCTGATTGTAAGATAGAAAAGCTTCATCGATAAGAATGGAGACTATTTCATATAATA